CATTTTTTCTCCTATAGAAGCTGATGTTTCGGTACCTAGCCCAGACACACATGTTATTTTTAGCGTAGGCATTCTCATCTCAGTTAAATTTTAAAAATAATTTTAGGATTTACTTAATGGCAAATGGCAAATGGCAAACATGGAAAGCTGAAAAACTTTAATCGTTAAAAAATAGTTTATGCATAGTTATTTATTTTTTTTGCATTAAGAGTTGCATCTCCAACTATTTTGAAAATTATAAATAACTTGAAGGGTTCATCCAGTGTCTAAGTAGCTCAGTTGAAAGAGCAGTCGCCCGGCAAGCGAAAGGTCGTGGGTTCAATTCACGCCTTAGGCAGTTCGATTTTTTCAAGTTATTTATAATTTTCAAAATAGTTTCTACATTTTTTTTATGAAATTATTATTAAAATCTATTACATTTTAAATCTGAAAATGTAAATTGTTTTTTAATGTTCTAAGTAAATAATCATGTAATTGCTAGAAACCGTTCAAAGTGAGTGGGCTGTTCTTGTTGACCGATGTCTGAGGTCGGTTGGCACAGGTCAGTTAATAGCTCAATTTAAGAAATCCTAGTCGCAATTAGACCAGGGCAGGTCTACGTTATTATTAAATTGACGAATCCGATTTTGTAACGATGTGATAGTAAAAGTACTTTGAAGAAGGTAACAAATAACAAACCTGGCTTAAGAAAAGGTACATCAAAATCAAGCGACTTTACTACCAATTTACTATGCTTAAATTATACGCAACACGTAGTCTAACGCCCGTAATTCACAAACGATGCCTGTTTAAGTGAAGCAGCAAATCGAACGTACAGAGTTGAATAGAGTTCTGTGATTAGTTCGTGTGTGACCCTGTGCGTCCACGCGCACTGTGAGACCTCATAGTAATGTTTGTGAATACGGGTGAATTCTGAATCGTTAAAATAAACATGTGCGTATTAAAATAGATGCTTAGGTATTATGTAGTCTAATGTGCTTTCGGCCATACGACCCTTTTGGATTTAAGCTAAAGTTACGAGCATTTAAACAAATAAGGCTTTAAAAGGTAAATTATATATTTAAAAAAAATGGTATAATAATATGATACCTTTAAATATAAGGCTTAAAATAATACTAAAACATTGTACCTAGATTCTAGTTAATCTCTTTTCAGGTAACATGCTGAAGTAAGAGCAACCAACGTGTGGTTTTGTCGTCCCGCCGTGCTCTGCGGTTGACATAAAGCTGACGTTCATAATGTAAGCGAAGAGAAGACTTATTTTTAAACCAATAGAGCTTTAATTCGCTTAATAACTGACAAAAACATGCAAGCTTCTACTATTTGTACGAATTTGTATTCGAAATGAAGTATAATCTAGCAATTAACTCAGTGCCTGAGATGTGTGAGCGGTACGGGAGGGGTGACATTGACGTATTATGACGTGACAAAGTATACAGGGTGGAATTTTGTAATGCCTCCTGGAGGGAAAGTACTCTTAATACTTTATATAGAAAATATTACTGAAAGAAAACATTCCTTTACTTTTGAAAAGAAAGAGAACTGCATTCAAAGATTTTCGATTTTTTTTCGAAAATTAACTACCATACCATACAATTTTCTGTGCATAGGTAATTAAAATATTTTAAGATTTCATGGTTTTCCTTTCATTTGATTTATCAAGTTTTTTAGAGAGATTTCGTCCTTATACTTAACCCTAACGATCGATGCAATAAAAATACAGGGTGTAATTTTTAACAGATTTTAGTTGGTTCGATTCGCGGGTGTGAATGCAGTTCTATTTGTTTTCTTTGAGAGAAATCTTCTATCTACAATATTAAGAGTACTTTCCCTCCAGGTGGCATTACAAAATTCCACCCTGTATAATTCTGAAGTCTCGCTGACGTTGGATATTACAAAAACACCCTCCCGTGCCGCTACCATACCACAAGCGCTGACTGACTTTTAAGCTATTTCGTTGCGAGTCCAATGACAGTTTAACTTTCCCCCGCCCCGGGACAAACTTGACCTTCATTGGTTGGGTTTTTATGGCGGTTAAGCTGTAGATCCTGGCTACACAGAAATTGCAATGGTGGGAACGAGAGGTGGGAATAGTCCCGTGACTTAAGTGCTAGACCTGTAGTGGTTCGCTAAAAGCTAAAATATGCCTGGCCTTTGACATTGTATGCGCAGTTGACCAACGTGTTTTATCCGATTAAACTGGCTACAAAGAGCATGGACAAGAGAATATTGTCTCTAACACCGTATACAACTGAACCTTTCACCTTAGCTAGGTTAGGTATAACCTGAATAAATGTTGTATAGTTAGTGCCCTTCGTGGCTAGTATAGAAGAGTATATTTACATTGCTACATGATACCTAGAGTGCTCGAAGCGCAACATTACTGACATAATTTAAATTTGAGTGGTCGTGAAAAGACGTACTTAGACTTACACCGATTCAAGTAAGTATCACAGTATTTACGAGTATATAGAAGATAGAAAATTACCTATATCTATAAATACATTAGAACCCAATAGCTATCACCAACAGTATTGGTTTTAATGTCAAATTACTGAAATTAGATTTCTTGGGTCTGTTTGAAATCTACAAAAATAATTTAATGTTGTGACACACTTCTTGTTCTACCAGATTCTATAAAAAGCTACGTGTCTCTACAATTCCATTTATTATCAGAGCCCAATGGCTCTCACCAAGAGTACCGATTTGCCTTCAATTACAGTTCTAAGAATCCTTGAGACTGTTTGAAATCTACTTAATTAAATTGTGACCACTTTTCTCTGACTAATACCGACTATGTACCTACTATAAAAAGGTTCTGTCTTTCTATCCACTTATTACATGTTTTAAAGGACTCCCACCAGGTGTACCGACGATCTGGTGAAAGTCACGGGAAGAACCTGGATGCGGGCAGCGCAGGACCCGTCGTTGTGGAAACCCTTGGGAGAAACCTTTGTCCAGCTTTTGAAGAGCATTTCCTACGTATCTTGAGTATCTAATTTTTTTTATCCACAACGAGGAAGCTCTTGGCCTGTATCTCACCTGATGGTAAGTGACGATCAGGCCGAAGGTGGAAGCGAGCTTCACCCGGAATCCTCAATGCTGCAGGCTATCTTACCACTAGACCACAGTGCAGAGGCGCTTACATAATAATATTATGTTGAATATGTCACCGTAAAATTGAGAATTCCGTCAGATTATAATCTGACGTAGTTAAATTACAATCTAACCTAACCTAACCCACTGTTAGTTTACAATCTAACGCGTTATATTATAAACTGACAGAGTTCACAATTTCACGTTGACATATTTTATCTAATGCTAAATATTATGTTGTATTTATGTCCAAAATTGTAGAGTGTGTAGAACGACAGGTCAGGGTGTTCCAAGCCGCTGTTGCAAAATATCCGCTAAATTTAAGTGGTATGCTAAATGCCAGGCTCGCTATCCACTAAGATTTGTTGCCTTGCCTTTTATAATGTAGACGTAATTTGAGCCTAAACGATTTACAACCTTATAAATGACATACCGTGTGATGCCATGGTGAGGGATTCTTTACCATAAACTCTCATATGACAGGGTGATAGCCAGAGTAGATAAATTCATTTCATTTTTAGTAGATAAGAACATAAGAGGTTATGTCTAGGGTTCTGTATTTACAAAATGTAGTTTTGTATACCATTATGGGTTCCTTCAAACTCTAGAATACCAACGCCCGTATTCACAAACACTACTATGAGGTCTCACAGAGCGCGTTCGCGCAGGGTTGATACATGAACCAATCACAGAGCTCTATTCAACACTGTGCGTTCGATTTGCTGCTTCAATTAAGCAAACATCGTTTGTGAATACGGGCGTAATATTGCGTATCTTAAATAGATAACCACTAGCTTAAAGGATCATTCGCACAGCAATCAAGGCCCATCACTTTCTCAATAATGATCATTAACCTGATAGTAGTTTGTCGGCCGTTTGGTGTAGTGGTTCAGAACGGACTACTATGCCGAGAGGTCCCGGGTTCGATTCCCGGCCGGGCAGAAATTGAAATGATGAATTTTAATTTCTGTGACGGGTCTGGGTGTGACTATGTATAATATTTATGTATTTAAAAAAAAAAGTATATAAGTAGTATATCCGTTAAGCATTAAGTTGCACCCATAACACAAGCATTAAGTTGCTTACTTTGGGGCTAGCTGGCGCTGTGTGAAATTGTCCAAAGATTTATTTATTTATTTATTTTATAGTAAAGATCGGTAGCATGCCTCCAAATGCCATCTGGTCCCAGGACCGGCGATGACGAAATCTGGGGCAAAGAGTGAAAGGGTGCAGGACATTACTCGTTTGCTACTCGATTTAACCGGTGTCATAATTTGTTACGGTTTAGCGATTTTGATAGAGTCGCTTTGGAGTTTATGATATTTTATTTAGACGGACGTAATTTTAGCTTCGTAGATTATGGAACAATTCTATAATAGGAGACTGTGCCCTTATGCAGTGACAAGAGAGCTTTAACGTTTTGTCACTCTTGTTGATAATGTCCTTCGTAGCGTTAGACATTGTTTCAGGTAGATAAACTACATCTTTTGGTTTAAGCTCTCGGATAGAGATACCTAGCAGATAAACTCTCTGTTAACAACCAACCAAACAGGAAGTATTTCTTAAATACTTAGGCTGAGTCGCACCACTTAACTTTGACTGTAACTATAACGATAACCGCATGAATATTTTGTATGGAGTTTGACAGATTTTTGACGTTTGTCAAAGGTAAGTAAGATGGATGACCCAGCCTTAGTAGAGTCAGCGTCAAATACATAGTTCGTGACACCCAAAATAGCAAAAAAAATTCGCAACACTTCTTTGTCCCAATTGGAATATGGTTGTGTTCTCAACTTTTTGGCCACTTTGGGTACTCGTATCTCGAACTATTTGACGCTGACTACATATATCTTTTTAAAGAACATGGGAAATTAGCTCTAAGTATCACAAATTGATGCACTCACCTGTTTTCTCGGTGATCTGTAAACAAGACCTTGCACAAGTTCGTCTTGTGTTTGTCTTTTGTCCTTGTTTTGTGTAGGCTCAGCCTTATCTTCTTTCTCCTTCACATCTGCAGCGTAAGCGCACAGCGCGAGAGCTGGAACAAAGAAACAATAGGTAAATATTTGAGACCTTTAAGTTACAGTACATTACAGTACAGCACAGCACAGTACAGTACAGTACTGTTTATTTTGTATTGTTTTTAGCCTCTAATGACAAGTTTTCGACCTTTGTAATGCCTACAACAAAATATGCTTTCAATACAAACGATGGATATGAAACATAGTCCTTTATAGTCTTTTTCACCTAAGATGATCCGTATGACGTTTCGAGTTTGAAAGATTTAGAGATGTCACATAACTAAATCATAGCGATTTTTCTATCGATTTTTTTCGAAGAGTTAGTAAAACCTACTTTTAGATAAATATTTTGTATAGGTGTTATTTAACAAAAAAACATGTTTTTTACAATTACAAATAATATTGTAACAATTTTTTATTCATAATATTCAAATTTCATGGTTCGTGTTCAAAAAACGATTCCTAAAAAGTACTGGTTCTGTTTCTTTAAATTAAAAACCATTAATTTATTTTTAATACGTTTATTAAAGTCAATAATCGAAAAATATAGTTGATTTTTGTGATGTTTTTAATAACTAAGTATTCACTGCAATCGATTAATGAACCGCGGAAATAATCGATTTTATTATACAAGAAATACCCCAGCACTAAATCTATTCCGTTTCACACATTGGGTACATGAAATAAATAATATTTTTACATCGTATTTAATTAAAATATAATCAATAGACTCAGATTTTACTATATATTTCAAGACAAGGTAGTTATTTTTTTTTATTATATTGCTAATAAAATACAAATATTTTTTCAAAAATATTCTGCATATGTAGTATGCGTAATATGGATAACCTTGAAGTGTCATACGGATCATCTTACGTGAAAAAGACTATAATGAATTGTCTAGCGACATAAATAATGTAAAATACATTTGCGATGGCTCGTTAACATAGCACTCTACACTATGAGGAACAATTAAGCAGATTGACAAACTTGGAACGACCCTTGGGATGTTCCCATGTAAACTACTCTCCATGCAACGGCAATTCCCATAAGTTACGAGTACATGTTGTTGCTCAACCACTACTAAGTTAAATTGTCGTTAAGCTACTCGTATATCTACGGAGTACTCATTGTTGAAAGCTAAATCTATATTAACAGCTAAAGGTTTGATTGACTGACTGACTCACTCACTCATCACGAAATATCAGAAACTACAAGACAAGTGCTTCCTAAGACGGGATTTTGCAAAATATAACCCCTAAGGGGGTAAAACGGGGTCCACGCGTACAAAGTCGCGGGCGGCCGCTGGTATTGAAATAAAATCAAAACTATAATGAGAATCTTAGAATACACCAGAGCACTGATTCCATAGCCTGGATGGTGGTCTTCTTCTAAATATATTCTAAATAGCTTATTATAATTTGAATGTATAATAACTGTATTATAATTTAACTGAGCCCCTGAGCTAAATGGACTTTGTGATGAAGGGAAATAACCCATTATATGTAAAGCAGCATAAACCAAGGCTTGGTTAGACACAATAATTTATTGTTGTTACCTTAGGCCTCAAGCGATATAAAATTCTAGTATTATTATCGCAAATGTGGCTAGGTAAGACAATAGTTATACATTGTGGGTTTCACGTGTTTCTACTATCATCTAAAATTTTTGCTTATCAGATGGTAGAAAAGTGCATATTTTTATGTTACAGTCAAAACTCATAATCGGTCAAAACCACTTTTTACTGGAAAAATCTGTCAAAAGTGATATTGACCTGGGGCATCAGTTAAAAATTTTGCTGTCAAAAGTGGTTTTGGCCGATTATGAGTTTTGACTGTAACGCATATACCTACCTTTTCCTCCACCACATCGTATAACCGCGATAATTTATGGATTTACTGATAAAAGTCATTTAACGCTATTATTATTATTAAACATTTTCTTTCTACGAATAATTATGATGACACGGTTTCGCCGGCGAAATTAAGAACTTGCTCTTCCCAAGAACATTAAACATTAAAAAGGTAAATACCTTTCTTCGAATGTATAAAATGAGATCAAAAGTGCTCATTAAATTTTACTCCGGCTATAACCAGAACCAGTACAACCCATTTGCGATTTAACTACATAATCATGCGAAGAAAAACATAGATAATAACACCTCCCGAGAATCCAACTGCCACATTATCAAATCATTTAGAGATGATGATTTGATTCGCTGTCTATGTCGCAGCTAAACTATGGAATCAGTGAATACAATTTTTGTTATCAGTGACAATTGTTATAAGTTTCATCAACGTGAAATCAAAAGGTGAAGTTTGGAACAGAGGTTAAATAATGACTTAAAACGCTTTTCAATGTTTGTCTTTCAATGTAAGTAGATCTTAAGCCAATTTCTCATGTAAGTAACTCTTATTCATAGAGCAAAGGTTCCTGAATCGAGAGTTTTGACTTGAGCACTAGCGGGAAATGTCAATTCAGAAACCAGGCCTATGGATCTTTACCCTTTGGTCTTTTAAAATCTTCATCGGGTGAATTCCTTCAACACTGAGCTTACAACTTGCAATGTATCGCAGCTTCTGCGATACCCCGGCACTTTTTACTAATGTCCGATTTCACACATTGCCTTTAACACTTACCACATGTGTGCCATTAGCACCGATTCGCTTTTACTCTATTTCATCGTCATTAATCAGTGTTGGTCGCGGACATATCCCATGGAATCGGAATTATATTGACAATGCCGTGTATAATGCGATTGACAGTAAATTATGCCTAGCGATAGAATTATTGAGGTCCAAAGCATGTGCAATTGGAGTTCTTTGATGATTGTTTGTTGATTTAAAGGGTGCTTAAATGGTTTTTCAGAATATCATTTAATATAACTATCTATCAGAGACCACGGCTTCTTCTAGCAATACAGCCGAAACGATTAGTTTTGTGCCTACCCATTTCCCTAAAAAGTTACACAAATAGACAAGTGATTTGCTATTTTAAATGTATTTGAGATGGCTGGAAAGTGCTCATTAATATATTTAACGCCTAACTATGACAATCAAACGTAAATGCGGCAAATGTTGTGACCGTTATAAAGTTAACTTTTAATTTTTTCTTTTCCAATTTTCTACAGGAGTTTGACACTTTAATTATTTTCTACTTCTTGGAATCTTGCTCCACAGAGAGCTGAACAGGTGTTAAGTTTTGTGAATACTCAATTGTGGACTTAATGATTAAATAGTAAGAAAAATATCAAGAGTTGTGTGAAAGTCAAAGTCGAATGAGGTAGGCACATACAGAATGTTAAGCTGAAGATTATCGGCTTATATATTTTGCTGAAAAAATGTATGAAGTTGTCGCTTGTTTTATCTTCTGTGTATCTTGCTGTCAGTCAATAGCTTTTACTCGTAGGTACAAAACTAGTTTATCAAAGTTTAAGTTACAGGCGCTGAGTCATTACCTAGTTCAACATAGAAAATAACTAACTTCTGGAGTTCGGTTCTTGTTTGTACCCCTTTTGTATTTAGTGCGAATCTTGTTCTACAACATCAACAATCCCTCTAGGTCTAGGTGTATGTCTGTCTATCCCATTATAGTGAAAATACCGCCTAATTGTGCCTTTTTGTGTATCAACAACAATCTCGATTGTCTATTCACTTTGTTTTTACCATTGCCAATTTGTTTTTATTTTTTTTACAACAAAATTTAGGCTTGAAAATAAAATACTTCAAATGGAAGCAGCATAATATTCCGTCAGTAAAAAAATGGCTAAATAAAAAATAAAATTACAATAACAGAAATCAGAAAGTTTTCAAGGACATTGTCGTATGGTGTAAACGCCAAAAAGGATTACCAGTCAGCTCGGAATTGGATTGGTCGAGACGAGCGGACCGGATCCATCGGACCGTGTTAATTGTAATAAAGGATGAGTTTTCTTGCTTCGACGGCTGCTAGTGACGTTGAGATACGTGCTGGTTTCAGCAGAAATGTTATGAAATTACGAAAAGTTGGAATTAAGAAAAATACATAATACCTACATAGGTGAAAATATAGAACCACTTAAAATTAGCAGCCCGTATTCGCAAACATTACTATGAGGTCTCACAGGGTAACACACGAACCAATCACAGAGCTTTTTCAACGCTGTGCGTTCAATTTGCTGCTTCACTTAAACAAAGGGTGTTGATGAAGCTACCAACCAATCCAAGTGTGGGGATTGCCAAATTAAGGTTTTAAAAATGCAATATAGGGCTAATCAATAAGGGTATGTCTAGCAGTGGAATAATGTTCATAATGATAATGACGAAGTGAAAACTGTCATGTATAACCATAGCTGGGCATTAACTCGTTAATCCGTTAATCGTTAATTAACGAAGTTAACATTTCTATTAACGGATTAAACTTTTAAGTTAACTTTAAAAAATGTTAACGGACTCGTTAACTTCCGTTAAATTATCCTAAGTCCGTTAATCGTTAATCCAGTACCTACTATTTACCAAAAAGATACAGCAGGCACGCTGAAAAACGCTAGCAAAACGCGTTCTGACAAGTACGTTCGGGCTTCCAGAACTTCCAGAACCCAAAACAACAGTTTTTGTAACCAGATCACTAACGACATCACTTGTTAGCATGTGTGGGACAACTCTTGCAAATGAATTTAAGACCAGTTTTCCTCAACCGATTGAGCTGAAATTTGGTATACTTATGTATAGCCTGACCAGGAAGTCCAGGAACATAAAAACCCTGGCACAGAGGCGCTTCAATTGCATTTGATAGTGCAACACTGAGTACAGTCGTACATGTGTTAAATTAATAGGCTAAATTTATGTATCAGGATTCAGGATTACGGGCTAATTTGATATTTTCATAAATTAACGAAAAATATTATTAAAGATTACCTGGTTTAAATAAATTAAATGAAACCATCAATCGAGCTAGTAGGATTTATTTTATTATTCATCAATAATCAAATTCAGAACATGAATATTCAACTGCAATGTCTGCTCATGAACGCTTCAAA